CGAGGGGAGTTTCCTAACCTGTAGGTACGGTGCCGGTTGTTCCTCCCCAGGTGCATCACCTTGCACTTGTCTGTGTTGAAACCCATCCTATTCTTGTCTGCCCACCCTTGTAACCTGTCCAGGTCCGACTGTAGCCTGCTTCTTCCTTCTAGTGTGCCCACATCCCCCCACATCTTAGTGTCATCAGCAAATTTGAACAGGGAACCCCACTGCTCACGTTCTTCCAGGTTGAGAAGGACCCATCCACTACCACCCTCTGGGTGAGGCCCTCCAGCCAGTTGGCAACCCATTTGACTGTGTGGGTGTCTGCACCACAGCCTCCCATTTTCTTAATGAGAACGGGGTGAGAGACAGTGTCAAAAGCCTTCCCTATTTCCCTGTTCCTGGTACAGGCCCAGGCTGAAAGAGCAGTGCCGACACCACTGCTGCTACGAGGCCAGGGACAGAGCCTGCCAATGCGGTGAAAAGGTAAGGAGTGCAGCAGAGAAGTCAGGGTGGGGGGGTCATGGACTGGGGGCTGCAGGGGAGGAGTGGCAGGGTGTGCAGGAGTGGTGGGGGAAGCAGCTCCAGCTCCAGCTTCAACCCTGGGTTGGGGTTGGAGCTGCAGCAGCTCTCCCCCTGCCACATCTCATGCTCAATTGTAAGGTGAGGGTTTTTTTTCACTCCCCACATTAAGTTGGGGGAGGGGAGGGGAATACCTCATTTTGTAATAAAGTAAATAGGGTTCCTAGGTGTGAGTGTCTGGTCCACCCTGAGGCTCACACACACAGATTCAGTAACTCCAGAGCCTACACTGCACAGTAAGCTCCCAAGACCTGATGGGAATCAGCAGCCTGTCTGTGGCATGGAGTATGAGGAAAGGAGGAACCGCTCTGCCTCCAGAGCTTCCTGGTCCATCCTTGCTGGGGGCATCCTGGGCCTGTGGCTTCTGAAGCTGCAGTGGCAACAGCACTAGTGCAGTTCCCTGACTAAGAGAGTAAACGTGGCCAAACGGGGGCACACCCCAGGCAGATTTCAGAGTTGTGCTTCGCAAGAGCCTTCTGCATGGGTGAGGACAGGGCCTGAGGAGTCTTCCATTCTCACAGGCAAGGGTGGTCTGGGGCTGTAGCTGTGGCTCTATATCTGCCATCTGACCTGCTCACTGCAGGGCTGGGCCTTCAGGCTGCTGGCTCCTCCCAGTGTCCAGCCTACCTTCCAGACAGCTCCAGTTTCAGGTCTTGCTTATCTGTTTTGGGTCTTGGTCAACGTTTGCTTTATCCTTCTAGTTCCAGAAGAATGAAGTATTTTGTCAAATTCTGCCAAATTCTCTCAGTAGCACCACAAAGCCTTTCTCATGGGCCAGACATTTTTTTTTTCCTCTCTTCAGGAGTTTTCCTAGTAGGTATTTGCCTTGATCTGTGACCAAAGACATGGCCTGGCCTAGCTGCAATCAGTCTTGTTGGCTTGAAGTCAAGTACTGGAATTAGCAAATACTGTTCCTCATAAGAGTACTACCCCCAAGGGGCCTGGCTGCGTCTGCCTGTGCCCAGGTGTGCTAGCAGCCTTCTGTGTCCACAGGCAACCTGTAGCACTGACAGGGGGAGGGAAAGGCAGTGGGGAAAGGCAACCAACCAGTTTCTGAGAGAGAAGAAAACAAGGGAGGGCGCAGCCAGGTGTACCTGGCCTTGGCAAAAGGCTGGAACAAATGAGGGGCTCCAAATGAAAACTGCCAGTAGAAGAAGAGAAAGTTTTGTCCAAAAGCAGGTCTTACCGTCCCTCTCTGGCTTCACCAGGTCAAGCATTTGGCAAAGTAAGTCATGGAAGGGCAATGGCTCAATGCCCATCGCTTCCATCCTCTCGCACTGCTCCTCATAAAAATGCTCCAGTTCGTACATGGAGAGCACACCATCCCCATCCAGGTCCATGCAACGGAACCAGTACTCGATACTATGGAAGAGAAGGAGACCGTGTTGGCAGCGCTGCCATCATCTCATTTAGCAGAGACTGCGGGGATGCATACATCCTCCACCCACAGGTAGCACCCTCCCCCAGCGCTGACAGCTACAACGGCAGAGTGCAAGCCAGAAATGAAAATACCCTTGGAAAAGACATCCCCTGACCCTATTCCACAATCAGTATATGACGGTGAGAGCTAAGGAAGGGGCAACAAACATCTTTCAGGGACTGGGACAGAACTAACAATCCACTGATCAGAATATCTTTCCCACGCTACCTGCACAAGGGTCCCAGTGCTGCAGCCCTGAGCACTGCTGTAAGTAGCTGGTTTATTGGTTTGGCCTCTCTGCTCCCCACCCCACATAGTTTCTACAAGCACAGGACTAGTATTTATGAACAGGAGAGGTGTCTGGAGGGCAATGAGATTCCCTAGGGAGGTGAGTAGGGGAAGCTGAGAGGGCGAGGTCAGGCAGGCAGGTGGCACACATCATGCTACATGGTGTCCAGGCACAATATAGAAGGAAAATGCTTCCTGCTGCCAGGTGTTGCTTGCTGAGGTGTGGCCCAGAGCTAGGCCTTCTTCCCCTACAATTTGGAGGCTACAGGACAGCTGAACACCCCAGGACCTGCAGATCTTCCCTGGGGAAATGGCACCGTGCCTCCTGGTCAGGGTGGGGAAAGGGCCCTGCTGAAGGTGAAACAGGAGGCACCAGCTGTTAGGAGAACCAGAGCTACTTAGGCACAAACTTCACTTAGAAGATGAAGCCCACGGTGGTGCTGAGGTTTGGGGACAGCCACAGCTGCCGTGGTTGTGGCAAGTTTGGGGGACACAAGAGGCCAAGATGGCCCGGGTGACCACCGCAATGGGGTCCCTGTCTCCCTGCCTAGGCATAAAAACTACTGTGGATAGGACCAGGGTCTAATTAGATGATGGGAGGGGAGCAAAGGATTTGTCTTGCTCTCATCTCTGTGACCTGAACAAAGCCTAAGAGGGACGCCACTAGCCCGGACCAGGCCAGATCGGGATGTGGCAGGGAATTACAGGTGACCCCCAGGATAAGCCAAGTCATGGAGTTAAGTTAATTTTGGAAGCAAAGTGTGTTTTTACCCAATTTTCCATCAGCAAAATTTGGTCATTTGACCTGCAGGCATAGTGAGTCTCTTCCCTCCCCAGAACTGGCACCCGGGCTCTTCCCGGTCCTCGACCACACTTGTATCTCTATACCCCACTGCTAGGATAACAGAACCAACCAGACCTTGTGGGGCTCCTTTTGTCCTCCTCAGAAATCAGGAGCCACACGAAGTCTGCATAGCTCATCCGCCCCTCCTTCTGGACTTCATTTCCTCTGAAAGACACAGAGAATGCAAGGCAAACCCCTAAGGAGTCCCAAGAATACATGTGGCCAAAGGCATATTTAAAAATACACCCCAAAAGCCTGCACTGGAGAGGTGTGGGGGCTGGCACTGACCCGGGACACAGTCATTCTCATTCTGTGAGGCTATCAGATCATCACCTCCCCTCAGAGGCACTGTTGGCAGAAGGGGCCTTTGCTCTGCTCTCAAGCAGCACTGGGGTTTTTACAAGGGGCATTTGTAACAACCAACTCCCCCTAACAGCTGCCTCTCCAGTGTGGTCCATTACCACCGTATGCAAATCATATGCATTCCCCTCACCACCAGGTCCAGCCTACTAGAGAGAGGAGAAATGCACTCCTCTGACTGGGTGTTTCTGTACTGCTTTTAAAAGTCATCCAACCTCTCTCCCCTTTCAGCAAGCCCCCACTGACACCCCTGCCATGATGGAAATGCTGCTGGCCTGTCTTCTCGGAGGGGATTTATGAGAATATCTTGTGCATCTGATCTGTGGTGACAGGAACCCTCTCTTCTGGGTTTTGCTTCCTTCTTTTTCACTTCCTCGCCAGCATGTAATTCCTTACCTCACCACAGCTCCACTGAATATCCTCTCAATAATCCTGTTTGACAAAGCTGAAAACGAAGAAAGCATGAAGAAAATGAAGCAGCAGTCACAGGAACCCCCACTATAGTCTTGGCTCATAAGAGTTGTGTGTGTTCAGACTGTATAAAGCTGTTATCCCACAGCAAATGTTACAGCAACAAGCCCTCTCTGTTCTAGCCAGTACATTATTCCCTGATTTTTGACAGCCCTTGGGAAAAGTATCTTTTAAAGAACAGAAGGGGCTGGTTTCCTGCTCTCTCTTCCTGTGCACATCCCTTCAACACAGGCTCACAGCTTGCGGCATCTCCAAATTATCCAAATCCTTGGATATGTGCCATGCTACTCCTGTTGCTCCAGGGGGACTCTTCACATATGTAGTGACTGATGGTTGTAAAGCTGTTTTAGTGCGTGCATCACAACAGAAATCAGCTGGACAGTGCAGTTCAGGACCAGGCCAGGCACCGCTGCCTCTCCCCACGTTCATGCCAAGGGGCTGCGGGGACCAGCCACATTACTGAGATTATATTTACTAAACTTATTACGGAGCACTTTCTAGTGCACAGCAAAGCATTCTCATCAGCAACAGGCACCAACCTGTAGCCATGACAGCAAGTCTTCAGTCAGTACAGCCTGCCTGGTAAGACGGCACCCTCTGCAATGTTTATTCATGCAGGTTGACAGCCTCAGGCTGGACAACATAGGAGAATGAGGCAGTATGCAGCCAAGTCAAGTGCAAGGGCTACTCCCAGCTCATGCTGTGACACGGCCGTGCCTACAGGCGGCAAACTGAAACATCCTGAAACATCAATTACTCAAAGCCTCATGTGCCTACTCAAAGCCTCAGCGCTGAATCCCGTGTCTAGGAACTACCTGATGAGAGCTGTTGCACCATCCTGCAGCATCACTCCTCTGCATCCCAGGCACCCCTCTAAGGTAACTGCATGCCCTCTACACCATTGCTCCTTATCCCTCACATAGACAAAAGTGCCCCCCTAGCCCATCACATCACCTCTTGGGTTTCCCAGCATGCCCCTCCAGACAGTAAAGTTACACCTGCCTCACTTGTAATCTTCCTTGTTACCACAGACCAGGCAAATTGGTTTCTCTCCCCACCACTCTGATTCTTTGGGCCCTCCGTGAGGGTGTCTGAGGCAGGGGCTGTCCTTGTGTAACCTGCTAGGTGTGGTACCTACAGCCCCTCCTGACCTTCCCCAGGGTCTGGTCTCCTACCTCCGCTCTCCCATCCCAACAGTCATGTTCTGGACAAGGAGAAAAAAAAAGGAGGGCTCTGTACTCAGGGCTGTGGCAGGCTGGCAGCAGGCCCGACCTGTCGTTCGAGGAACTGAGTCAGGAGTCTGACTTGACCTTGCCTGTTCGGAGCGTGTGCCTGTGTGAATCACCCTCGCAGGAGTTGCTGTTCCATACAACACATCCGTGAGTGTGATCTTGTCAGGCTCTGCAGGGGTCTGACATTTCCTTCTCTGAGTTTGGGTTTCATCGATCCCAGCCTGTGTGAGTCCCGAGGGCTTTTCCTTCCTGTCCTTAACACCTCTGCAGTTCTCTCTCTGCCAGAACACTATTTTCAAAGATATTACCCCTTAACTGTCCCTTCCTCCTGTGCTGCACAGCCTGAGAGAGCATGTCTGGGAGCTTGTTTTGCATCTGCTGACTAGGGCTGCGCCTCATGTAGTTGCTGAAACCTCCAAATTAATCTAGCTTAATTCTTTAAAGTTTTTGTATAACAAATGTGTGTGCTCAGGAATTCCTCACTGAACCACTTGGGGCTCCCCTGTGACTGAGGCTATGGTCCTGCTGACCCCATCATAACTGCAGCTCTCCCTTTGGGAAGAACTGCACTCGCTGTAAGGAGATAGCGCCACAAAGTTTCTTTGCTTGGCACGCAGGCCTTTAGAAAGAACAGACCTGTAATGCTCAGCCAGGGCTATGTGGCACCCTGGAGTACCTGGAGATCTTTTCACAGGTACCATGGGGTACCACGCAATGTTAGCACTGCTAGGTGTGTAGACAAGATTCACAAGATAAATCCAGAGATTTCAAATAGGAATCCACAGTATTAAAAATATTCTGACCTGCTGTGGTCTTTCTCAATTTTCAGGAGAAAAATTTCTATGTTATTTTTCCACAGTAAAAAACTGAGTGAAAACTAAGAGCTGACATTTTTTGAGATGCCTTGAGCTTAAAAAGGTTGAGAACCACTGGAACAGAAAACCAGTTTCTAAGACTTAAAGCTGGGGCCCTGACTACCATCGGCCTTTGGCTAATGACATGCATTAATCTGAGAAGGTTTCAGGCTGGAAGGAGTTTACCAGCGGAGCCTCTCACAGATCTGTCTTAACACTGGTCTTGTATATTTTCATTAACGACCCTGACACAAACAGCAAGGGTGTGCTGATGATACAAAGTTGGGAGGCACCGTCGATACAAAAGAGGACTGGGATATCAGACAGATAAAACTGGATGACCTTGGGGACCTAAGTAACAGATATGGCATGACATTCAATAACACTGAATGCAACTTAGTGCCCTCGGAGACTAATTGTAAACACTTCTGTTCTAAGTTGGGAATGTATCCATCAGAAATGACTGAGCAGCAGAAGGACCTCACTCTAATAGCCAACTACAGGATGACTGAGCCCCAGCATGAGGCATAACAGGTAAATACAATTCTGGAAAGTGCCATGAGAGGTATTTCCAGCAAAGCTAGGAAAGCCTGAGAGCCAGTGCACAGGACACTGCTGAGACCTCATCTGGGACAGCGTGTACAGTTCTGGGTCCCTGAATGCAAGAAAGATTAACTCAAACTGGAACAGGTGCAGAGAAGGGCAATTTGGCTGATCATAGGATTGGAGCAGCTATCACATGGAAGGAGATCAGAAGAGCTTGTTTTGTTTAGCAGAGCAAAGCAGAGGCCGAGATGGGGTGTGACAGCTGTTTATAAATACAGTTGGGGAAGAGGGAAACAAACACCAGGGAGGGAGAAATGCTATTTAAGCTCAAGGACAGAGTTGGCACAAGGCTACATGGGCCTGAAGTGGCCATGAATAAATTCAGGCTGGAAATCAGGTTTCTAACCAGTGAGATTCTGCAACAGCGTCCCCCAAGGAACAGTGGGGGCAAAAAACCCAAGTGCTTTTAATATGGAGCTTGATAAATTTATGAAGAACTCCCTCTACATGACAGTAAGGGACTGGATTTGATGATCCTGGAGATCCTCTCTGGCCCCATGAAACCTAACTAGTGATCATAGGAGCCAAGTCTTCATGTCTACCAGGGCATGTTGGCTCTGACACCAAGGGCTGGAGACCTCAAACCCTGGAAAAACCTCTGCATCATAGCCCTGTCCACTTTTCCAGGTAGATACAGGGGCAGACAGCTGCCAGTGTTTCCTAAGCCACCTCTTTAGCAGGACTGCCCTTTATGATGTCAAGTGGAAGACCAATTTGGCCCATGAGCTGCCAAGCTGGGTGCGAGGACTTGTTTTTATCCTTGCCCACATGAAAAATTCATCAGTTGCTGGCTCTGCCAATGCTGGGGGGAAGATTATTATAGATATTCCTGCCAATGGAGCCTGGTTTGTGTCCTGGACCATCATGATGTTCAAGTTCTTGATCTTGTCCCAGCAAAGGCTGGCTCTGCAAGCAAAGCTGGTCCCAGCCTGGCAGGTGACAGGCTTGGGCTTGCCTAGTGGTGGTTCCTGCTGCCAGAAGGAGCTGAGCTCAGTTGTCGTTGTCTTTGCCCAGGTCCTTGGGAGAAGCCCTGCTCCTCCTCATGGATGGTGGCCACACAGTCCTAGAAGCTTGTTCTGTAGCAGCTGTGGCTTTGGATCTAAATCTGGCAGCTGCAGACCCTGACACAAGGAGGTGTGAGCTGCAGCTAGTGGAGCTGAGGTCAGGGCACTGGACACAGCGGAGGGGACTCCCTCCTGTCCAGCAACTCCGCAGGGTGCCCTGGGCTAGAGGCAGAGGGAGCAGACACAGCCCTTGTCCAGAGCGACCAGCAGAGCAGCAGCAGGAACTTCTGGGGACTTGTGAGACCAGTGCAGCTGCATCACATGCATTTGGCATGTACAGTCACACCACTGCAGATCAGATGCAGCAGGCTGAAATGACCCTGGGAGCTACCCTGGTGCAGGTGTCACAGACCCTGGAATGCCTTTGTGTGATGTAGCAAGCAGCTTTCTGTGTGGATGAGAAACACTTTACAAGTGTTCCTGGTATCCAAAGTAGAACGCAAAGTGCCAGAGTCCCCCAGGGCATATCATGCTTGAACAGAGGCTGGAAGCAGCACTTGAAATGGCAGACCCCAGGAGGAAGCAGAGATGACTCGGTCACTGTTGAACCACTGCTGCCTGTCTGGGGTCACTTGTCGTCTGCCTCTCCTGCCCCAGGGGTGCAGTGGGGCAGAAGTCGCACACCCAGCTGAGGGTTTGCTATGCACAGGCCTCTTGAGCCCTGTGTGCCCTGGACCAAGAGCACAGGCCACACTCTTGCCTGTTCCCTTTACAGGACAGAGGGCTGCCCAGTCCCAAATATTTGGAAACAGTAACAATGAGGACAGGACAAACATGGCCGTGGTAGGGATTCCTGGATGGGCCACAAGGCACTGAACAGCCTCCCCCAGTTCCAGCCAAAGGAGAGGGAGCCTTGCCTACCGCTTCCCAGAGCAGTCTCTCAAGCCAACCAGCACCCAGGATAGCACTCGAATGGCACACCGGGGAACTAGGATAGAGGCACTGGGTGCAGGGCAGAAGTTAGCCATGACCCCACAGCCATTCTAAATACAATTCCCAGTGGAGCATGGATTCATTCCTGGTTTAGAAAATTAGTTTTCTGTGACCACCTTCTTCATCTTGCAAAGTCAGCACATGTGTACCAGCCCTGCAGCCCAGCTTACCTTGATCATTGTATCTAGACAGATCCTTCTGGTTGATGTAGAGGTCGTGGTCAGTGTCCAGTTCCCAGAATTTGCAGTAGATGACATAGAAATGCTCATAGGAGAAATAATCTGTGATCTGATTTATGTCGTCCTCCTCTTCCAAGAGGGCAAGCGTCTACAATGGCACAAGGGGAGCAGAAAGGTCATTCTAAGCTATGCTGGGGGTGCTTCAGTGATCCATTGAGCACCCACAGCTCAAGGAATTAAGCACTGTGAGAGGCAGCCCCCCACCCTTACTGTCAGGTACTGCTCAGACTCTACTCCCTCCCTTGCTGGGCCACATGGCAGCATTGACGCTGCTGATTGGCCAGGCAGGGGACAAAGTTCCACATGCTCTGTGCCCAGGAAGGAATGCAGCTCAAGCTGGAGATGGAGCCAGGCTGCACAGGGCTAAGGGTGGGGAAAGGGACTGGGGGGACAGCTGCAGAGGGCAAGTGGCTACTGGGGGCCTGATTTTGACCCTGACGTTCCCCCCGCACAAGGCCCCAGAGAGCCCAATCCCCAGCACAGATCAGGCTCTAAAGCCTGGACCCATGGGCCTGAGTCAGAGATGCAGCATTTGAGTCTGCTCACTTTGTATGCAAATCTAAGATGAGGGGCATTCCCCCCCAAAGCTGATCAGGGTAAAAACCTCGTCTTAGGTTTAAGTAAATATAGTACATGTAGGCCACGACTATAATTCAGAGCTATTCCCTTTAGTCCAGGAAAGCCAACTGAGATGAACTGTACAATGAACTCTCAGGTTCTGCCAACCACTGGACTTCTCCTGGGAAGAATGGCTGCTAAGCTCAAGTCTCAGACCTGTGCATACAGCCTTCTCCCCAAAGCCTGGTCTCCCCAGCCTCTTCCTGCACCCTCCCTATCACGCAGTCCCAAAAACTGTTCATTGCTTCCTGCCCACAAAGGTGTTGTTCATATTGCCCCTTCACCTGAGCCATGCTGCTGTGTGGCACTGGATGCACAGAACACACAGCTGCCAATCTGCAATTTACAACCCATGGGCCCAGCCCTGCCATCTAGAGCCGGTAAAAGGCAGAGTGGGGCAGGGTGAAGAAGGGAGCAAATGTGGGGACGGAGGAAGGGAAAGGAACGTGAACAAAAAGCAAACAGGGAGGAGTGAGCTAGAGCAGAAGGGGACAGCATCAGAACAAGCCATGCTCATAATGTTTAAACTGGCACTTGGGCAACTAGTCACTGCACATGCACAAGAACACACTCACTGTTCAGACTGTTGATTTGCTGATGAACCAATGCATGAAAATGGAGCAGAGTAAGTTTAAAGTGAGGGGAGGGGAAGCACTGATGCACTGAAGTCTGTGGGAAGCACACGTTGTGTGTGTGTAAGTGGAACAAAGTGGAGAAGGCAGGCTCATGATTGTAGGCTGCCAGAGTTAAGTGAGATCTTCTGGCTTCTTAGGTGGTGGTAGTGACATACGCCCTTCACCAACCTTAACTAGTTTTCAACCTTAGCTGAGCCGAACACAGAAAGAACCAGGCTCATCCATTTCATAAAGGAGCAAGATTCCTGGTCCTGTCTTTTCCCACAAGACAATGTTCATAAGGCTGAATTACAAGGATCCTACACTTTGCAAAGCTTTCACTACTGTCAGCAGATTTTCTCCAGAACTGGAGCCTCGGGACAAGTGACAGGAAAAAACATATTTTAAAAGCTATGTTCATGTCAGACAATCCCAAGGCCACTACATACTTGCAAAAAGTTGCTTTTCCTCATCTCTGTTAGGGTGATCTTCCCAGACCAGGATCGATTGACTGTGTAGAATATTCTCTGTATAACCTAAAAAAGTAAAGAAACATATAAACTTGAAGACGTCCACAGCTCAGAGTACACCACTTTGCAAACCCAAAATGAAATCGTTTGGTCAGCGCCGTGATGAAAAAGGCCTCTGCAAAAATGTTTTGCCATCTTTGTTTCTACCCTTCCTAGTTCTCTTTCCGCAACTGGAAAGCAGCATTCCATTTGCAATCAATGTTGAAAGTTTCCAGTTTGCAAATACTCATTTTCTCTTGGTTTTAATTTCCCACTTTTTGCATGCTAGTCTCACCAGTAAATGATAGGGTACTCATGGTTCCTAAGGAGCACTTTGGGGCCTTCTGTACACCTGCCACTCTCACTGATCTCAAATCAAGTGGCAACTGCTCAGTACTTCAGGAAAGCAGCCCTTGGAAAAACAAGCTACTTCTGCAAAGCAGGTAGGCCCACATGAGTGAAAATGACTGCTCTGGACACACAGTACATGGTACGTGAATGCTACCTGGGTTGCTTGGTGGCTTTGCTGGGAGCACTGCATAGAAATTTTCTGGCTAGACTTGGCATGGGCTATGGTTGATGTGTGTGTGTCATTCATCCCCATCACTAGAATGTCTTCTAGTAGACCAGAGGATGAAGGACAAACTGGAAAATAGATACACTTGTAAGTGAGCATAAAATAAGAGGAAGGTGACTGGAGGAGCATGGTGCTGAGTTCATATAAGTACCTACACAAAGATATACAACCCCTCCTACTTTCACTCTTGGTAGCTGGAAAGAGTAGCCTGACTAAAATATTACCACAATGAGAGCAAGACTACCATGATGAGGTCAATGAGACACAAAGCCAAACTTCACAACAGTAGAGGTCAAAGCAGGGAAACTCGGGCAGGATCCCCTGAGAAGCTAGTCTGAGGGGAGAGGAGTCTAGGACAGCTGGCTGTACTTCAAAGAAGCCTTACTGAGAGTGCAGGAACAAACTATCCCGATGTGCAAGAAGACTACCAAGTATGGCAGAAGACCAGATTAGCTTATCAAGGAACTCTTCAGTAAACTAAATCACAAAAAGGAAGCTTATAAGAAGTGGAAACTTGGACAAATAACTCCCCAAAGTCCCCCCAGTCTCTGTCTCTTCCCCCTCAAGTTTCAGTCAGTCTCTGCCCCTTCCCCTATCAGATGCTGCTCGGGCTGCTCCTTCCAGGAGCACAGCATGGCATAGAAACTCAACCCTTGCCTGGCCATTAGGGCTGTGTGAAACGGCTATGTTTCATTTTGGTTTCGGATGCAGCTGTTTTCAAGGACAGTGATTCATTTCGGTGTTTCGGATCACTGTTCTGTTTTGATTCAGCTGAATCTGTTTCAGAGTTTCAATGCTGTTTTGGTACTGATTTGGAGATTCAGATCAGCTGGGGAGAGGCAGGCACACCTGGGCAGCTGCAAGTTTTCCCATGGCTCCTCTGGCTGTGCCTGCCTCTGCCCCAGTGTGGGGAGCCATGGAAGAAGCCCCCATGGCTGCCCCACCTGGCCCCAGCCCCCGCCTGGCCCCAGCCTCAGCCTTTCAGCGCTTAAAAGGAGGGCTGCAGGGCTGTGCCGAACTATTCCCGGCAGGTGCTTCTGAAACATTCCAAAACATCCAAAACACTTCTGAAACATTTCGGATGGTTTCATCTCATTTTGTTTTGGAGATGTTTCAGAGCCTTCCATTCAGTGTTTTGGGCACCGAAATGGGCTCGAACACCTCCAAAATGAAACAGCTGCTGAAATTTTGTGTAGCTCTCTTGGCCATGCAGCAATGTTGACGCCGTTGATTGTGCAGACAGAGGAAGGAGTTTCCATGTGCTCTGTGCCTGGGAGAGACCCCAGCCTGAGCCAGAGCCAAGCTGTGCCTGACAGCAGGGGTGAGGGAAGGGAGTGCAAGCAGGGCAGAGGCTGCAGAGGGGAAGTGGAGGGTGGAGGCAGGTGGCTGCTGTGAGTCTGACTCTGGTACAGACCCATGGTTCAGGGCCAGTCAGAGCCACAGCAGCTGCCTGCTCCCCCTCCATTTTTTATGCAAATATAAGAGAAGGGGCTTTCTCCTGCATGCTGATCGAGGGGGGAGAGGGGGGTCATTTTATAGTCAAGTAAATATGGTACCCCAGTCCAATGAGATGCTGCCATATCAGGAAATGTAGATATCGAAAAAGGTCAGTTTCCCAAAGCAGAATACAGTTAGGGGTAAAACTGACAGGAGGAAAATTTTACAAAATAAATGGAAATAATTGTTTAGTATTTTTTCCTAGCCAGGAAACGAGTTCTCTCTACTGTTTACATTAATTTTTAGACCATTGGTAAAGTTCCAGAAGACAGGAGAAAGCTAGTGTTGTGCTAGAAATTAAACAGGGATAAATGGGAGATTCTGGTGCTTAGATGCTCCTTAGCAAAACAATTTAGGAAAAGTAATGAAACAGCTGTTACAAGAGTCAATCAGTGAAAATCTACGATGGGAACATAGTGCCACTCTGCATGGTTTGAAGAAAAACAGGTCTTCTCAGACAAACCTTGTACCATTCTTTGATGAGATTATGAGTGCGGTTGATAAGGGTGGGTACTGACATAATATACTTTGAATTCTTAAGGCATCTGACTTAGTATTGTACAATATTCTGATTAAAAAAATACAAACAATTATATTAAACAATCCAGGAATGGGCTAATGAAGGGAATGGGGGAGTTCTAATGCTGTTAACTCCCCCATAAGCAAGGAGAATTGTTTGTTTAGTTTCACTACCAAACTCAGAGTATGATTCTTATTAGCATAAGATCACTGCCCTTTATTCTCCATACCAGTAAATGGGCTTCCTTTAAGAAATGCACTGAAGAAAAAAGAAAGCCACAGCTGTCAGATTTGCTCAGCACTTATGTAAAAAATGCCTTCTCCAAAATTGTATCAAAATTTTAAATTGTGCTGTCAGGCACAGGGAATCTGACTTGCAGTGGGGAGTAGAAGAAATTGTTACACATCTCTGAACAAGTGCATAAGTTTGAGACAGAAAGGAAACCCGCTGCTGAAAATTCAGACCATTTTCCCAAACAGTGAATGTCCTCACAGTGCAAGGGTCTGCTCTGTGATACAACAGTATCAGAGGAGAGAGATTATACTCCTGAATTCCTAAAGAGAGAAAAACAGCTTTCTTGTAGGATTTTCATGGTCATTCACATTGTCAACAGTGGATCCTAGACCTAGCTCTTGAACTAGGAGAAGAAAGATGGCCTTGCTGCTAAAGATCGGTTCAACAACTAACTCTGAGACAGACTCCCTGTGTGGATTGGGGCAATTGTAGTATCTCTGAACAACTGGACTCTGTGTAAACATTAGCCCTTCTGCATCTCAGTAGCACATTTGATTATGGAAAATCCAGCAGCTGCTAGAAGATTACATACTGACCTATGAATTGCACTTTCTTTGGCTGGGAATCCTGAAGACTTTGATCATGAGAGGTGCCACAAAACCCATTCTCAACATGAATGCCAAAATGGCTTAATATATTCTAAAGCCCAGCAGGGAGTGTTATGATCAGTTAGTCTGACTTCCTCTATACACAAGCCACAGAATTTATCCCTGGGGCTGGTAGATTAGAATAACTCACAAGTATTAACTGTATCAAAATATACACACTTTCTCAGAGTAACTCAAGCACGGCTCCTGTGAGTGGTGACAGGGGGTGTAATGGGAAGGGCCTGCAAGGTCAGTATTTTGCAGAAACTCATAGGAACCAGCCTACCGTAGTAATATAGCGAGAATGAAATTCTGGAGCATCCTTCAAAAAGGTCAGGCCAGGATGCGTTTCCACCACGTCCTGAAAGACAAAACCAGATCAAACTGAAACAAGGTTACTGGGTTCATAAAGTAACACACATTCTTCCAAAAGTGAGTACTGCAGCATTTTAAAAAATGAATCACATCTTTTTATTCTTAAAGTGAACCTTGTAGAAACATAGCACAGTTTCTGGACAATACGCACCTGTTGGGCCATTTTGATTTACTTGAAGACAGAAAAACAAAGGAAGAGTGTTAGTGAGTGAGTGAAAAATTATTTTTACTGAACAAAACAAAAATGTTAGTTGACCAAACAGCTATTTCCCCCCCACTCTTGTTTGAAATCTTCATAGAGATTACCATTTATCATGCCCAAAGAGAAAAGTGTTCTTCTGAAAGACTATAAAAACAGTTCTTTACGTCTTCCTAGAAAAATGCCCAACAACCAGAGGAGAGTTGCTCTTCATTCTCTTTCACAGCAATCAAAGTTGGTGAAAGCTTTAGAATGCATGCAAACCAATGCTTTTCCAATATTTACTTGAACTATCTTGGAGGTTTCTTTCTCTCACCACAGTTATTTGCATGCGTGCCAATACTGCTTCAATGATTAACACTCAGCCAGAGCTCTGTGACTGTGACAGGCTCTCAACTGTGGAAGACTTACTCATACTGTGAACAGAAGAAACCTCTACCGTCAGTGCCGCAACAGTACTACAAGCCTGCCTGACTTCTCCAATGGCAGAGGGAAGTGTTTACAGCTCTGCTTCATCTGCAAGATGACACTACAGATGAACATGTACACTGCATCTGGGAGGTCTGGAAGTATGCTTGTAGCCCATAGCTGTTTGACAGGCATCCAAGGATATATTAAAAAGATTACAGTTGCATTTGATTGCGCTGGTAGCTATGAAATAGTGTTCCTGTCAGTCAGGAAAGACACTGTGTCTAGCAAGGAGAAGCTGAAAAATGCTACCAAAGACATGAGGCAAACCATTTCATCAAGGTGCCAGTTCAGTTATTAAGGAAAACCCCGGGCATTTTTACGCATACTCAGGGCAGGGGGAAGGAGGCATAGGGGCACTTTAATTAAGAGTGGCATCAAGAGCCTAATTAAAGTGTCCACAGGATCTCATGTATCAGCACTTCAAAACAGTTAAAGCACCCCTGCCACTATTTTGGAGTGTGTGGACACTGATACATGAGACACGGAGGCTGGCTGGAGTGCGCTAATTAGCACGTTCTAGCAGACTCGATTAATCGAGTATGATCTGATGCACTGTAATTACAGTGCGTTGGAGTAGCCTCCCTGCATGTGTACCGGCATCCCATGAGTTCAGAGATTCAATCTTGCTTCAATTAGGCATGTCCAGAGTTATCATGTTCTGCATGGCACAATATCAGAAATATGGTGACACTAAAAGGAAATTTAAATGGAGCTGGAGGGACTGAGTTTTGGTGAGAAGATTGCAAAACCTAACTTTTTCTAGAACTTGACTAAGCACTAGCTAATGAAGAATCTGAGAGTCAGCCACGAACATCTGAAGGAACCAGACATGAGGGACAGAAAAGGATTTAGTTGTTGGTGTTAGTGATAACGACAAGGACATTTTCAGTTATAAGAGAAACTTTTTGGTAGCACAGCTTAAAAATTGTAATGGGCTTGGTGGTGCACATAGTGCGTGATTAGAATAGTAATCTTCAAAGACTGTATTTGGTGGTCTTGAAAAAGTGCCTTATACTTGAACACTTCAAGAAATTAGGTGGATTCAACTTAGCTACCCATCAGTGACAAATGGAGGCCATGGACCAAAGTTATGCTTTGCCTAAATGGGCACAAATCTCAATGCAGACCATCCAATCCCCTAAATACACATGCAAAGACATGATAAGGAAGAAGTTATAAAACACATGTATAAGCAGCAGCACCTCTTTCCCCCCGTCCCCTGTCCCCTCCCCTCCCACACACTGTTGAGCAAGTTGCACTTACCTGAAGCAGTGGGATGAAATCCTCTTGCTCTAGGTTGTCGCAATCAGGTTTTGCGAGAAGGTATATGAATTTGGATGCATCATCATGACAGTTCTGTAATACTCTACAAAAGAGAAACATATTTATTTCCATGTGATTCCTGCCAATTCACAGTTTGGAAGGACATAGCAATTGGACACCATGGTTTAACTACAACGCTCCTCATTTCAGAAATCAAATTTCAGACAGGAGTTGGGCAAAAGTGTCACAATGCAAGCAGTGCAGTCTGGATATAGGAACAGTGTCACCCAGTCTCTTCAACACCTTGAAACGATGCCCAAGCATTTCTGGCACACCAGAGCTTCATTCATGGTTAATATTACCATAGAAAATGGGGATGGTCTTTGGCAACTGTACGAATGGTGTCGATTAGCATGTCATGAAATGTCTTTCCCATAAAGGAAGAGGGATATTTCATGCTTGAGAGTCTGGAGGCATTGCAAAAGTGACCTGCCTGCTAAGGAAAGGAGAGTGAAGGCCCTTTTTAATAATCTTAACAGCTTGAACAAAAGGAGAACAATAACAAAATGTCAATAAGGGGGTAAGAAAGACGTCATGACAACACCATGGAGAACCTGGGTTTCAGCTCCTGGTATGTACCCTAACCACTAGGCTATTGGGCTACAAGGTAAGAGAGCCCTCCTCCTCCTCCATATTTTGTGACTTACACAGCATTGCATGCCTTCTGGAAGGCTGGAGGGGTGAGTAGGATCTAAAACCCAAAGAAATGGCCCCAAATGCCACTCATATTAGTCACTCTAGTTGGATTTCATCTTACGTTCCTTTATCCTCTTGGTACCAGGAAGCAGGTTTTCCAAACCTGGAACTGTTCTTGCAGCTCTCCAAACCCTTTCCTAGTTTTCAACGTTCTTCTTGAGGTGCAGACACCAGAACTGGGAGCAGTCACACTTGCACCATGTATCACCACTCTTAAGTCTGGCCTCCCCTGCTTCTACATCCAAGTCACATGCTTAGGGCCAGCATTTAAAGCAGCCGCTCAGTGTCTAAGCCTGCAGTGAAGGCATCACTGACCTTTTCAAACCTCTGGCCCGATACTGCCTATCTCCCTTGGTACTTAAGAGTCCAGACATTTAAGTTGCTGCCATTTATCATTTTCATGGAAGCCAGGATGCTAGTACTACCCCTGACCTCATGTCTCAAAGCCATAACTCATGCTGAAGCCCTAGAACTGCCCCCAAAGTGAGGTTTTTTGAACTAGGAGGGAAATGTTTATCTTTGTCAGCTCTGAGCACATAAAGGCTTCCCTGTGCCCCCAAGCAGGAGGTCCTAGGCTACTGATAGGTGGAGGGGCAAAACAGCGCTCACACAAAGCTCGTCCAGTGGCATAAGGACACAGGAGGAGCAGGTAAGACTAACGGTGCATCCGCACATGCAATTAGTGCTTCTCAGTAAACTCTGGCACAGTTCGCACTGGAGTCAGCTGCTCCTGGGCACAGGGTCTTCACATGCACCCATGACCACAACAGTTTGAGCCAGGGTGGAGCAGCCCTGAGCTGGGAGCAGGCTTAGGGGGCCAGCTCCAGGTGGTGGCATCAGGCAGCAGAGGAGCTGGCTAGGGCATGAGAGTGCCCAAAATGCAGAACCGTGTGGCTGACCCCTAAGCCCTTTCCAGGCCGGGCCAGCTCTACCCTGACTCAAACTGCTGCAGTCCCAGTCACTGTCCAGATGTGCTCTCTGTGCAGTAAATGACTACAGGAAGCTTTGGTGGCATCAGAGGCCAAAAGGTCCCCAAGTTGCAGGTTGCTTAGGACACTGTTCTGCTTAGGTGAGTGGCACCTAAATCCCTTTAAAAAAACTCTCAATTGCTGTTATCCCTTCAGAGCCCATATTCATTTAGTTAGCTACCATATCCCAGAACACCTTTTCTGAGTCTCTGCTTTCAAAAACAGGCTCCTCTATCCTGGTGGCGTGACTCATCTTCTTGATTCCCTGATGTATGGCATTCCATTTAGCTTTAATAAAACATCCTTCCTTTTCCAGGGAATCCAGTTCATCTTGGAATTTGGACTGCTCTATAAAACTGGTCAGTCCTTATCATTATCTCTTGTGCCAGCCCCTTTTGCCTACAAAATGTACCAGTCCTAACTGTATCTTTTCCTGCAGTTCATTGATAAAGACATTGATTAGTAACAGGTGAAAAAAATAAAGCAAAGGAACTCCACTAGAAACACTCCTCTTGCATACTGATTCCCCATTACAATTATTTTTTTAAGCTATTCATCAGATAGTTTGTAATCCATTTAATACATGCTTACACTGACTTTGCACTGTTTTCATTTTTTAGGTGGGCTGGGGTGGCCATCATAGAGGACATTCCACGGTTTTCTGCTACTCTGTCCCCTGTCCTCTATTGATACAAAACCCAACCTTATTTTTCTCTCTCTGAGAGAAAAATAGAGGACATAAAAGCATCTCATTTTGTATCAATAGAGGACAGAGGACAAACTCTATGATGGCCACCCTAAGGTGGACCAGTGGTGCTCAACTTTTTGACCCCACGAGACAGGAGTGCTGTAGCATCGGTTCCACAGGCTGTACGCAGTGTTGGGGGCCAACCCAGCTGAGGCCCAATTCAGTGCACAGGGTCAGCCCAGGGTGTAGCCCCAGCTCTAAGTACCAGATCGCACCTCAGCCTTACACACTGGATCAGGCCTTGCCTTTGGCCCTAGGAACATAGCCATGTCACCTGCCCTGCAGGGCTTTTGGAAATTCAGTGGCAATGGCAGTACTGTTGGCCATCAGTTCCTGCCACCAAATTTCTGGACCCACCACCGGCTGGATGGCTTGGCTCCACAGCCTAGATCTGGCCCACAGGCTGGAGGTTGAGCACCACTCATTTAGACTGTTGAGCTACACTTAGTCTAATGCCTTAAAGGCCTCTGAGGTTTATTATGTCAATGGTTAAACCTTTATCGATCAAATCTGTAATTTCATATCAACAAGATGTCAAATTTGTTAAGACCCATTTTCCATGAAAACAGGCTGACAGGCCTTAATTATATCACTCTGCTTTCATTCTTTTCTGGCTGCATATGGTATTAGCGTGTCCACCATTCTGTACAGCAGTGATGTCAAACTAATCAGATCATATAATCTCAACTATTCCATTTAGATGGGGAAAACATTTGTTTTTTTTCTAGTCCTCTGGACCTTCCCCAGTACTCAGAGATTTGTCAAATATCAGCATCAGTGACTGATAGATCTCCTTAGCTAATCCTTTTAAAGTTCTTGGGTACAAGTTAATTCATCTTGCATTTGTAAAAATTCTTAGGAGCTTTAGAGGTTGCTTTTTGACATTGTGTCAACAGAAAGTGTTTCATTGCCACTGTAAAATAAGAATTGTTTTTTTCCAAATACAGAACATAAATATTTACTGAACATTTCTGCCTCCTGTGTGAAACTGATAATTTTTCTATCACTATCTAACATCAGACTGATGCCATTACCAGCAATTCTTTTGTTTCTGATACTTTTTTTAAAAATTCCTTCTTACTGAATTTACTGCTATTAGCTACAGACTTGTCATTGATTCCTTTCATTTCTCTTATCAACTGAAGACAACACTTTTAGTAATTTGGTCCTAGTCCTCTCTCTGGATTTAATTCTCCTATCTGCAAAGGAAGACCACAAGACCAATATAGCTCTTAAATCCTACCATGGTGCCAGCTTGAGGCTATACAAGTGGCTGCAAGTGGCACACAGACATTTTGCTATTATGACTTTCACCCTATGAGCTTAAGACAGGCAGAATTGAGTCTTAGTAATCAAAACTTCAAACATGCATGTAGCAGGACACTGTGGAAAGAAGTTCTCTCCCACTTTAAGAAGAGAAGCTGCCTGAGAGGCAGCTTCCAGGTGGGCTGATTGGAGGCTCACCTGATGGGAAGAGGGCCAGGCTGGCGCTAGATAAGCCCAGTGCCTAAGCCAGTCAGGTAGTCTAGCCCTAGGAGTCTGAGGAGAGTTTTCTGAAGCAGGACTAAGAAAAGACTAAGGAAGGTAGGAGAGCTAAAGCAACTCTGCAGCCCAGGGAACAAGAGAATATTACCCAGGGCAGAGAGGAAAGGGTTTATGCAGGCAAGGAGCCTTTGTTCTTATGTTGCAACTATTTTTTTGAGTTGCAAGCCTTGAGTCATGCTAGAGACAGACTCAAGCCCTACAGGGAATTCCGCAGCTCAGAGACAGGGCTGAGTCAGGGAGCAGAAGAGAAGGCCTGAGAGCAGAGCCCCTCCCCCCAGACCAGAGAAGTGGCTGAGTGGGGTACAGAAGAGCCCCCAGCCCAAACAGGGGCTGGGGGGTAGAACAAAGAACCTGCCAGCTAGGGAGAGTCAGAGCAGGGGATTAGAGATGCATCACTTTAACAAGCGATTTAATAAGATGCAGAAAGAAATTTTTCTCCCTACAGTTTAACCTTTCCTAATGCTGCAGGATTTAAGGATGCTGCCAAGCTCCACTGGCTAAATTCTCTGACACACAAATCACCCCAATGAGCCAAACAATGGCTTCTTTTGTAGAACGTGGCGTGGGAGAAGTGCAAGGAAGCTATGGAGAGGGCCTGCTCCTACTAGAGAAAAAGCCAGTGGGGTGTGGTGTTCTTTACAGAACAGAAATGTGCTGTTTAAGATGATGTCTTCTGCTTGTGGCCATGGAAAGCAAGCATTTCAGAGCAGTGGAAGACTAGGCTAATCTTCTGCAAAATATTGTGTTTGTCAACATTAACCTGGTTGCCTAAATAACTGGGATTTTACAGAAGACACGAGCACAAAGAAGGCATTTTCAGGGATTTACCACATTCCTACTGAAAAATAATAACGAAAGAAATAGAAGAGTTGGGCACTCTGAAAATACCTATCACCAGATGTTATCATTGATTCCTTTCATAACTTTGAGGCAGCAAACAATAAATTACTTGGTGATTTGCGATAACTACAAAGAGTAAAATGTGGCGTTAGTTACTAGTGATTGCTTTGGCAAAATAATTATTACTTGTTGTTTATAAATTATGGCTCAATCCTGCTAAGGCTTTTGCATGTGAATACCCGCAACTTGGTGGCATTTTTTGTGTTATTAAGTTACACACACAAGGATTTTGCAAGACTTCAGACTTGGATGCCTGAGAACAAAAAGTCTGGATAAATATATAAATAGTTTTTGGTTCCACTTTATTATACTGGGAGCTCAGATTCAGTGGGATTCCACTGTGACTCCTGTGCACTTTTGAGAAAGCTAAGACAGTTCTCCCATCCTATTACTGACACTTTTTTTCCTAGATGTATGATCTTGCATTTGACCATATTGAAACATGTTTGATTACCACCTCACCAATCTTATCAGGAGCAATGATTACTAAGAAAAATATTAAACACTTGGGGCTGAGAGAAACAATCCCTTTTGAGGTGCATCCATTCAACAATAATTGACACTTAATAATTTCTGTTTTGAGTTCTATCCATTTAATGCTTGCATCGATTGGTTTTGTGTGTGTTAGGTATTACTTTTTAAATCAGAATGCTCTGTTGTACATGTTAAAGAGATCTTACAGAAGTCCAAATATATATCAATAGTTACTCTTATAAACTAAACTTGTAATTGCATCGAAAGAGAATACTGAGTTTATTTAAAAAGACTATCAGGTCCTCTCAACTGGCATGAAGTATATATCATCCTTTAATTTTTTTTTATTGATTGTATTTTTTCCTGAGATTTATCCCATGCAAAAAATGCTTATAATTAACTTAGTTATCACATTTGTCCTCTTCAAATGTTGGAACAATACTGACTTCCTTTCAGACATTAGGAACTTTACCAGTTCGTTAAAAATTAACATGACTTTCTGGCCCAGTTTCCTGGCCAGTTCTACTAAAACTCTTAGGTATGGTCCTGTTGATTTTTAAACATGATTAACTTTAGTAGTTGCTCCACCTTTGTCTTGGAATATAAGAATGTCATCATCATATGTCCTGAATACATCATCCAATTTATTTCCAAGTACATGATGCTTCAGCACACCAATCTGATGGTAAAGGTAATTATAGGGGTCATCCAAAAAGGGACAGCATGCATGAACTTGTTAAGTAATGTCTATTAAGGGCAGATATTTGTGGTAGTGAATATCTTTAGTATAAGCAGCAGTGTAGCACTCATGCTCTGTGGCCAGTCATGCTAGGCCCAGCTCACTAGGTGAGAGATAAAGAAAGGACTGTGAGTCACTAGTTTTCTTTATCAGCTTGACTGATGGTGCATTGCCTAGTTTTCAGCAGCAGGAACTCTGAAAACATTTTGCTACTTCTGCCCTTGAAAACTGGTTGTTCCCACTGTCAAAATCAAACATGAAATATTTTGGGGGAGAAGTAACAAAACATTGAGAAAACAGCTTAGGCACACATCTAAAAACCCAGGGCTCCAAACAGTTTGTTTTCTTTACTCTTTGCAGCAACATTTTTGTTTGCCTTTAAAATAAACAGCACTTTTGAAGTTAACCCTGTGTCCAAAGCCTCAGTTAAAGAAAAGCTGCTACACAGCTCTAAAACAGCAAGTGGTTGCAACTTTAATAGAGTAGTCTGTATAAGAGTGGATGGCAAAGGCAGCACGAATTTGCAATGTGATTACTTCAGGAAAAAAACAGTAAAGCTTTGGCCCTGTGCAAAGGCACATTGTCACAGAAAAGAAGCAACAGTTCCTGGCTGAGATTTTTCTTAAATAGGCACCATAACAATTGGCTCCCAAGTCCATATTTGTATGCCTAAAATTACCTGGATTTCAAAAGTATGTCATACCAGGTTCTCACTGATTTCGAAGCAGGTTTGTGGATGTTCAGCACTTCTGAAAAATCAGGTCTCTTGAATTAGGTGCCTAAAAATAGACTCTGATGTTTCAGGTTACTAAAGCATGGACAACTCCGGTTGAGGGGTAACTAAACTGGTGTTTGGGAATCTTCATAGAAGAGCCATGAAACATGATCGGGGCCTGAAAAAATTGACTTATGAGGAAATTTATAAAACAGCTAAAATTAGCTCAGCTAAGAGAAAACGAAAGAAGAGCAGGGTAACAGGTTACAAAAAACCAGGAGGGAGGGGAACTATTTAGTACAAAATAGAAAGGCTTAATTATGACTAGTAGAAAGGAAAAAAAAGTGTCAGTATAAAAAAACCACTTGACAGCTGAAAACTTAACACAACTTTGCAGTTTTATTTTGGTAAGAACTAAGAAGCTGCTTGCACAGTATTCCTTGTGGAAAATACTTGGGGGGAATAAATCTCAAACAGCAATTGGACACATCTGGGCAGTAGTCACTGGATTAGGCTGAGGAACAGTCCCCCTAAGGATGTGGTGTGAAAACAGCTTGATGCTTTAAAAGCTAAACTGATTTAAAGCAGTAGACATGCCCTGTGGGAAACAAACCTGGGTTAGATAAGGGGCTCTTCCACCTCACCTATCTGCAGGTCAGAGCAGCCCAACCAGAACCCCTCTTCTAGAAAGGAGCTTTTTAGACTGTTATGTTCAAGTGACTGTGAAGCTCCAAATACAGGCCGAGTCTTCACAAAATGGGTGCCAAGACTATGATCTGGCCCAGGGTATCATCCCTGCTTTCTTTCACACCCTTCTTGCTCCCACTCCTTCATGATGATATTTTGGCTTTAGTCCTGCTTCTCAGACACACAGCATGACACCCATACCTACCCTCAACACATGCCTTTAGGCCTTCACCCAGCTGCCCATACCAGGTGGGATGCCCTGCTAATTCTGATCTGTCTGGTCCTCCAGTCTCTTCATTTAAATGCTTCCTTTGATTCCCCTCCCACCTGAGCTCCTCTCTCTGGGACCTGGTCACTGTGATCCTGCCTTGCCTTGCCCAGCTGCCCTGTTATCAGCCTGCCTTGCCCAGCTGCCCTGTTATCAGCTATCTCCACTTGGCTGTATGCTCTCATGCAACAGCTATGCTTTATTACCCATGCTGGGAGCTGCATGGCAAATCTCAGGTCACTAAGATGATGAGTAGCAACAGATACCCTGGCCTGACAGCAGCTCAAGTAGGCAAGTACTTAATCGTGAAATCCATGAGACCTAAGCATGTGCTGAACTATCTACCTGAATTGGGACCAAAAAGCAGAGCCATTGGTGTATCCTGTTTCCTCACTGCAGTGAAACACCAGGGAGCATATCTACTATAAGCTGAAGATTTGTGCTGCATGGGGACTTCAGCTCCACTGGCTTGGAAGGGAGCTTTGGAGAAAATATGACCCTGTACTTACCCAGCCTGACTCAAAGTGCTCAAGCAGGGAGTATGCTTCAAAGAATCGGGCACATGACTTCCTCCTGTACTCCCTTGCACTTAGCCCATTCCCAAGCAGTTCCTGTTCAAAGCAATCGTGGGGAATTAAACCTCAGATGGGTGTCTTTAAATATCTCCCCCCAGTGCCAATGGGAATCCAGTACTGAAAGTAGAGTACTCACACTTTCCCATCCCAGGGAATGACACTCTCTCAGGACAGTACTTCATGGGCTGAACATGAGCAGGAATAGATCCTCAGCTAGATCAGGCATTCTTAACATTTTGAGTTGTGTTCACTTTAAGTTATACTGCTGTGTACCCCTATGTCGCAGATATTAAAAAAGTGACCCTTATCACTATATCTGCACTCTAACATCTCCAGTCACCTAAGAGGCACAGAATTTTAAATTCTTTTTTCCTTCTTTTTCCTCCACTTGTAATTCCTTTCCCTCCTTCTGCTTTCCACTTCTTCCTGACACCCTCCAGAAGTTCACTACCTGCCCACAGAGACAGGCATACTCAAATTTGAGAAACACTGGTCTAAATAATTTATGCAGAAACCCTTAACATAACTGGGAACCAAACACTGAAGAAGTTAAAGGGAAGACCACAGAAGACAATGTAGCTTTTAAAATATGAATTTGCTTGGAATGGAAGAGTGTTTTGAGAAGTGGGATAGAACTTAAGGATGACAGGACTGAAAACATTAGAAGGGCAGGCAGGCAGGCCTTTTTCTTTTCTGAGAAAAGCTATACTCACTTTCTCCACATAGCTACGAACGAATGTACAGACACAAATCCTGTCCGCTCTCCCCCTGCTGCATTGAACATGGGTGCTTTCCAGTACAGAGGGCAGCCACATATCTGTGAATGAAACACAAAGATACACTGCAGCTCAGTGCAAAGGTATTCACAGAACTGGCTCATCTGTTTATACACTGAATTCATCACCTACCATACATCTGTGCTGGGGTGCTGCTGTCACTTTTATGAGTGGCAGCACTAAGGTGGCTGGGCCCCTTTATGTGGATGTAAATGTGATGACTGAAGTAGTTTTTTTTGCCACCATACCTATACCAGCTTCCTTGAATGACAGGGTTGTGATGCAAAACTCTGTAATGTAGCCAAGGGACCAGCCTTCGCTGTGTGAGAAATGGGGTATTAATATGTGTAGCTTATCAAAAATATCTTACTGTGATGCTCAGACCAGGATACAGAACTCAGTTATCACATGCGACACAGACATATGCCTGGGTAAATTGCTGGTCCAAGAGGAGACTCAACCTAATGCCCTTTCCCTGGTTCTCTTACACTTTGGCAAGAGATCCCAAAACAATCCCATTTGTCCTGGTGACACCAGTGGAGAGAGGCAGATGCACCTAGGATTCCATCACACAGGAATTGCCAGTTAGCCTCTGCATTGACACATGCTTTCAAGTGCTGGGCTAGGAAAACCAGTGCCTTTTCCTCTCTGTAATGCTTCAGGAAAGTATGCCTGACAACTGCCTGGGAAAACACAACAGTCCACTCAGTCTTCAGGAACTTCGCTACCTTGCTGCAGAAGAGCTGAAGCAACAGCCACACATTGGAGCTCTGCAGGTATGTGCGTTGCAAACAGGATTCAGAGCATGGCAAAGCACAGGGACAGAGATTTCCCCATGGACACGGACAAAAGTAAAACTTCCATCCTTATGATGCCCTTTGCCTTTGACACCTTGAACCACAAAGGTCCTGCTATCACCTCTAAAGGACACAGCAGAAAGACTGCCTGACATGACAGTAGCTTCCACTGTTTCCCCCTTCCCAAGGGCCATCACCTGCACAGGTTGATTCACAGAGATCCATACTATTGTGACTCCCCTTCTATATCTGCTTAAGACCATTGGGAGAGAAAACAAGATACCATGGGCCAAAAATGTGCCAATAATGCCAAAGTATTTGCCTCCTCCTCAACTACCTGGAAACCCCAGTCATGGAGAGCAGGACCCCACTCTACCTGGCCATGCACAGCTACAGAACAAACCAACAGTCCTTGCCGCAGAGAGCTCTCAGTCTGAATACAAACCAGAAATAGCAGGTGGCTACAAACATGGGGAGTATGAGGAATGATATTGGTGAGCATGACTGTTGGTGTAGGTATCACAGCGCAGGAGTTTTAAGGAGAAATCAGAAGAACAACAAACAAAAAGGAGCTGTTTGTGACGTCTTCCGCCCCAAAATAGAGAGACATGGGGGGGGGTGGAAAACCTGGAAGCATCTGCAAACATAACTAGTGGAGTGAAGAACAAGAGATGACAGGCCGAGTGAAGACTTAAAGGGGGTTGAAAGTGAAGACAAGCAGTGTATGCTTCATTTACTAGAGAATGAGGAGTTCACAGAAGGGTGACACAGTGAATGACCTTTGCAATGCGATTCTGGAGAGGAATGAATGAAGCAGGACTACATGTGTCAAGGTGACAGGAAAGGACCAGGGAACAAATTCCATCACCATTGGGAAGATGTCAGGATGCTTCCAAGAGATTAACTCTTGGATGAAGCATAGCTGGCACAGGGTGGATCCAGGCAAGACAGCAACTTTATAAAGCTAAGACACAATTCCCCACCTTCCACTGAAAGCCTCTCTTGCAATCTTATTTTCTAATGAACAAAGTTCTCTCCTCAAACCTCTTAACATTTTCTTCCTTCTTCTACCAGAATACCAGTCAGCTGCATAACTGCTTTTGGATGTAACCATTTTTATTTCAGTCTACCGCAATGTTGTCCACTGATGGGGGGAAAAGTGGGCCACCTGGAGGAAAAGTCTTGAAATTTTCTTTTGGCTTGTTCTATTCACAGCTTCCTTGCTTATTCATAGCTTCCTTGCTTCACAGCCTCAAGTCTAGACTTCATGTCTGTACTGCAGCAAAGAAATACGTCATATCTGGATGTCATCAGATAACATACGTGTCCCAAGGATGGCCAGAGGTAGCAGTGATTGAGGTTAGTCTTCTCTGCAGCACCTTGCTGTTTTTCCTGCTTATAGTAATGACACAGACAAATGCCTGTCCTGCCCTTTTGTTATATGTAATATGGGCCAGGAAACTTTCCTACCAAGCACTGGTGTTTTCCTAAGCAGCTTTGCTGGAGGTGTGTTTTATTAGCTGGTGCTGTAGTTATCATAAAATGAAACTCTGCTGCCACAACATTTTCCTAAATGACAAGGGTGTGCCCATGCTGGAGGCAGTGTCAAGTTGAAAATAACCTACTGCTTGAATCCCCAGTTTCAGATACTCAGTGCTCACAGTGGAGCCCTTGTGGAAAACTAAAAGAACAGCAGAAGGCCTATGTATTTCTAAACATAAAATGGAAACAAGTCTTACCTGGCTCATGGACCGTTAGGGAAGGAATAGAGACCAAGGACCCATTTCTGACCTCACACATATCTAACTTATGTATACTACCAATTGTTTCCACTGCTAATAACACCAACTGAAGTGAGGAGAGAATCTGCCTCCAAGTCATTTGTGTCATTTGCAACTATTTTGTATGTAGCAGTTGTGACTGTCTTTTGTGTTAAACACATTTGCATTTCTAAGCGATCTGCCTGTCAGTAGGTAAGTGGGTCAAATTTGATGAATTATGCACCAGAAGAGTACACACACAGCACTCTCCTCTCCCACGAACTTTAGTTGAGTTCATTCCTGTTTTTCTGTTTCCTTAATTTAAAAGGAAGTCAATCAGACTGAAAGTATACATTTCCTCTTTACGTACTGAAACATTCAGTAGCTTTATTTCCTCAATTCTAGTCTTGGTCTAGCTGCATCATCCCCAAAAACATGAATGACCTTCAGAGCAACCATACTATCCTTGTGTAAGGCAAGGATTTTTGTGGGTGGTACCTTTTATTGGACCAACTGCATGGTTGGGATAGACTCAGCCACGTTTTTGAATGCAATGTATTTCTCTTCCAGTCTCCTGAAGAAAGAAGGACCAGAAGAATGTATTGCATTGAAAAGCTTGTTGAAGTCTTTTCCCAACCATATAGTTGGTCCAATAAGAGGTCACCCCACAAAAATCTTACCTCTTGCATATTTCCGGAACCATCACAGTTACAACATCACTTCAACACCACAAAATTTACCTTGGTAATTTTCCCCATTTCATAAATGTTGACTCTCTCTTCAAATTCTGTAAAGGCCATCTCAATCCTGGCAATGGTCTCCTCATGATTGGTGCACACATTTGGAAGTCCTTTGGGGAAGTAAAAACGTGGAATGTTTATGGACAAGGGGGCACTGACAGAGCCTTTATTCACAGGCAAAAGAGGTCGTGGACTGACTGCTGAGTTCAAAGGGGCTGGGGATGGAATCCCAGGCTTCTTCTCTTGTTTATTTTGAACCTGAAAAGATAAGGCAAGGAATAAATTTTCTTTTCACAATACAATGTAAAAATGTGAAAAAATATGCTCCAAATGCACAAAATTAACTGGGTCAAAAAACAGATTGTGTGTGTGTGTTGTGTGTGTATGTGTGCACATGGAAATGTTAAAACCAATATAGACCCATGTTAAAATACTAGGGCTGTAATGTCAAACACTGAGAAGTTAGGATATATTAGATTTAAAGCTGCCTGTTCAACCTTATTTCAGCCCCTTTGTAATCATTCATTATGATAAAGTATTTTATTACATGAGCATCCACTTTTCCATAAGACCCCTGCTTCATTCAGTGTGCAGGATGGCCAGTGTTCTGTACTCGACTTATACAGTCCATGCTCAGTATTTCTTTTTAACCTTGTCATTTAGTGTGTTGTCTGATTAAGAGTACAGACAGCACTCAAGCCCTGCAACAAATAAAGGTTTTGTTTGGTTTTGCTCCCAAATGCAATAAAACCTTCTTTCAATGCTTTCATCACTCAGCTGGTGCAAATATGAATGAGTTTGCCCTCATAATATCCACAGGAATTATAATAATGTTATCATCCTCCCTTTTACGCATGAGGAACCAAGGTCCAGAAATATTAACAGCAAGATTTCCAAGGAAAGGTATTAAAGTAGCAAGTTGAGCAATTAAGTTTTGTTTTTAAGTGCCCTCCAAAAGCAAAGACCTAATACTTCACAGTCGGGGAAGAAACCACTATTTCTATGTTTTAATTCTCAGGATCATCTTTTCCCCTTCCTGCAGGCCTCTGTTATACCATGTCAACATCACCCTGTATACAATACGTGTATAGTTGTTATGGTGACAGACTAGTTCATCCTTTTCACAGTCCTCTGACATCTTTGACTTCTGTTCAGACTTTAATATTTTTGGGATGAGGTCATGAAATTAAACAGCTGAGCACATGTGAATTTTCTTTGGTACTTTTGGGATCCTAAATTATGAGGTAATAAAATCAACATTTTAAATAAAATTTAAACTTTTAGAATTGAAACATGCAGGGGTCCTGTTCTTTAGCACATTTAGTAAAACGTGGTAAAAGAGCGTAATTGAAATAAACACTTCTTTATTCTTCATGTAATAGAACACTTTAGTTCAAAAAGCCAAAGCTGTTAACTGGTTTATTTAAACACTGGGGATATTTATATATAATCTGAGTGTGGGGGTGGTGCTTTAATGAGAGCAGCTCTGAGAGCTGCTCTAATTGAAGTGCTTGGAGTGCCTATCCCCGCACTGAAAAATGGCTCATCAAACGAGCTTTAGTGCCCCTGCCGTCGTTTTTCAGTATGGGGATGCGATACACATGACACTGGAGTCCAGCAGACTCGATTAATTACAGTGCGTCAGAGCAGCCTTGCTGCACGTGTATAGGCGCCCTGGGAGAGACCTGACATCTTTATGTCAGTCTCAAAGTCACATGCAAAACTACAGCAGAGAGAGATTTTTTGAGGTACAAGCAGAGCTCAATAAGAGGTTGAGCAGAAGGAGTTTTCTGTGTGGCTGGTGAAGGAGAAGCTTGTGTTACCTGTCACCTTGCTCTTCAGGGGGTTCCCTGTAGTCTGGGACCCTCTTCCTCTTAGCAACCACCAATGGACCCTGAATTGATATGGGAACGCTCCTTTCCTGTCTTGGGCTGATAGACTATGGGAAGCCTGACTGGGGAAGTGATTTAATCTGAGCTTTATTTCATCTTCATTGGTTATAGGTTAGTTATATGTTTAAAATATATATTTTACAATGGTTGATAAGAAAAGCTTGAACAGCTCAAACCTAGTTCAACTATTTCAAAACAAAAATTGCTTTTGGAAAAAAGAAACCTACTTCAATGTAATAAAATACAAGCAAAATTTATGAATTGCTTGTATTGCTCTTCGCTGCCTTTACTAGTTGCTAGGAACATGAAGCCTTTTTCTTAATTCATTTTAGAGACTAACTTGCCAAAGAACTGCATTTGGAAAGTTAAAGAAATAAGACTGCTAGAGCCTTTCAGTGCTGCTTTGCATCCAGTTTCCTGACACACCTTCAAGTCTGTCCCTCAGGGTCCTGTAAAACTAGCTCCTCAAAGAGACGGGCGGGAGGAATTTCTCCTGACGTTTCACTTTTCCTCCTGTAAGTGATGAGGACTGCCCCTTCCACAGGATCCCTTCTCACTGCAGGCATGGGTGTGTGTATGTACATGTCCCCGTGAAAACCAAAGCACACCCTAGCAGCGTACATGTTCTGAAGAGAGCAGAGCCAGCTCTGAGGGATCGGGTCCATTCCCCTGCCAAAGGATATCCTACCAGTGGTGAGATGTGCTGGTAAAAAAAATAACTCCGTAACTTTTCTGAATTTCATGGCAACCCAGTTGAAAATCACTTAGATGGATCTAAAGTCAGAAAAGATCTGGAGGGAAGGCCTTGAGGCTAAAAAAGTCGAGAATGGCTGATCTAGTACATGTCACGATGGAGGCAGAATCTCACCCTGTTGGGCCCTGCTCTTTCTGCTGTCTGCCCTCTCCAACCTCCTGGTCTATACCTGAGGGACAAAGACAGCTTCTGCTACTGATTCTGTTCTCGTGGGGGTCTCACATGCCAGGGACCACCCCTGCAGACCCTTCTGCCAGCTCTGGGAGCTTGGAGGGAGTGGAAGGGATGAGCTGGGCTGCAAGGCTTGGTTCATCCTTGTACATCTTCCTGCTGGGAGATAAACAGGGCGGTGCAGCTCAGGGACTGCTTGGGGGTTGGGATGGGTAGGGGAAGGTGGCAATGGTGACAGCAGTCCCTGCTGGGGCAGGCACAGGGTGTCAGATGGGGATGAAAAAATTTACCTCCTCACACAGGGGGGAATCTTGTGCCATACCATCATTGCTCTTGTGGCACACCCTTTGGGAATCACTTCCTTGGACCCACAAAGTCCCATTTCACAGTACTGTAGAGCTAGATGTCATCAGCTTTCCTCTCCCCTTGTCTACAAACAGCCCCGGCTTCCATCCCCTTTGGTGTCTCCCTGGGTGTCAGTTGCATCACAGCCTTACTCCAGCACAAGCCTCAAAGCAAGGCTTTCCACAGACTTCGGTACTATGAATCTCACACGTTCAAAGACCATGAGTCACACCCCCCCTTTACTATGACTCCACTTTATTTTCCAGTCCATAACCACAATCGAAGCTCAAGGGTAGACATTTCAGTACAAATAAGGGGGCTGTTGCTAGATTTCCAGGATGGAGAAAAATCAAGTCCAAGCACAGATATGCTGCTGACCTTACAAAGAGAAGCTGAACTATTGAACTGCTGCAAGGAACTGGCAAGCAACGGAAAGGCCGAGTTCATAAAAAGTGATGTCAGGTTTTTTGCAAAAGGTTCAGCTGCAGGCAAACCAAGAACATTTTCTAAACTTAGTCTAGTTCCTTCTAATTTCAGAAAGCAGTTGTGAGAAGAGACAGCTAGAGAAATCAAAGAATAAGCACATGAAAATATGTTTGAGAAAACCTCTCAGGCTTTTTCTTTTGGGTTATGCAGTCATGTTACTGAACTTTGCTTTGACTTCAACCACTTGTTGATTTTTATTTTTATTTTTTTGATTCATTTATTTTTGGTGCATTTTGTCATCAGCAAATTTGCTTCCAATGAAGGTCTGTTTATGTGTTCCTCAGTTCCAGATGTGAGAGCATCGTCTGGGGGAAGCCTTGTAAATCTCCATTGACCCAAGGGAGGGTTTGTTATACTCTGCATGGGCCATTTTAAAAAAAATCCTACATGGAGTATGTCAATACGTTATTGCTGACTAATATAAAAGGGAAATGACAAATTGGGAAATTTATTTAGACAGTCTTAGATCTTTGGATACACTCTAACAATATAGCTTACATAGGCTGCAGTTTGATATACAAGTCCCCATTTCATTATCTGAATTATAGTAACATTCATCAGTTTTTGGTAAGTGCAATTTAGTGGAACAAGTCTGCTTCAGCAAGGTACATATGTTACCAAACAGCACTCTCAGAAAAGTAGTCAGTGGCATATATAAAGAAATACGTGGGGGGTGCAGGTATCAGTAGCTGGCAGTGAACTTTTCTTTTGGACATCAGGTAGAAATTAAATTCTAACTCCGCTCTTAATATTGTTGTAAATCCAGGTTTAAAGTACCTAGATTAAACCAATCTATCAGGCTTGCTACATCTTGAGCCAATCATACAGCCTTTTTGTATGTGTACAGACTAAAAAACAGTGAGTCATTATCACAGATGAGGAAGATGTGGCTATAGCAAACAATCACCCAAACTCCAAAACATGGGCATTCTCCTCTCCTCAAGGCCCCTGTCATGGGAGCCCTCTTAGCTGCCCCTGAAGGGAAGGAATGTGAGGCTCCTGCATTAGCTGCAGAGAAGGAAGTAGTGTTACACCTAAAACTTGCATGTCAGTACTGATCTCCCATGCTGGGCAGTGCCATATTGAGCAGCATAAACTTTCCCAAGAGCTCTCTCCACTCCCTTCTAGGATAAACTGCAGCCACATGAGAAGTCAACCACAGTTCCTCGTTTTCTTCCTGTTGGTACCGTAACCAAGCTTCCCTCTCTAAGGGACTGTAACAGTCCAAAGTGTCTTTTGTGACAAAATCTGTCTGCTCAAAGCCCAGCTTTGCTAGCCTGAGGGTTCTTTCTGTATTGCTTTCCCTCTCTGCTGAGTTTTGATGGCAGTGAAAGCAGACCAATGAAAATATAGATGACCAAATTTCTTCACCAGCCTCAGTTTAGCATTCCCATTCCTCCACTTCAGACTGTGAGACTACCTTAGAAGGGGCAGGTTTGGTCTGACTGTTATCAAGGGGAAGAAAGCAAGGAACTGTGGTTGACTGCCTTTCCCCTTCCCTCCCTGGGGGTGCTTGGCCAGTCGTCAGGCTCTCACCACCAGAGTCTCCCTCAAGTCCTGCCAAGAAGGATAGGACAGTTTACGTTCACAGGATGCCTGGCCATGGGAAC